CCCCCATCTCTGCTACTGTAGAGCAGGTCACTGTGTGGTGAAAAGTAGGCCAGTGTTTCTCAATGTGCTGCAGTTATATAATGCTTACAGAAAATCCTGTTGTTCTTTTAAGTGCTTCATACTTTTCCCCTCTGATAAGGCTCTCGTCGTTCTAGTGAGTTTCTGCCCCACAATAACACATTATCAGTCTCTCATAATGGCACATCCTTATGAGCACTGGCAAGCACAGAAGCCAGAACATCTTGTTCTTTTCTGCTCCTTTTGACAATACTTTAAAGTGGAATGCTACTTACATATGCAGCAAACAGTGACACACCAGTCTGTTAAATATGATACAATTAAATTGTACTGCAGAGTGATTTCGACCTGGGAATGTCTCTTTTCTTCGCTCATGTGATGTAGGACATGTTCAGGAAGCTGTCTTTACAGCATTTGTCACATGTGCAAAAAAGGAATTCATGAATATGTACCCATGAATCTGATTTATTAAGTTCAGAGATTCAGACATTTGAGATAACATTTTCTGACCATTTTGGGGGATGTGGTTCACAGTTCTGTTTTTGTGTTGCTTTATACTGACGGATGTTATTTTGATCCATCTCATTCATACCAACAAGGGTATCTGTACTTGATAGACTGTACAACTGAGTGTGTATTCTCAGATATAGGTCTGGAATAATGAGACAAACGTGATGTGTAGGGCGGGCAATCTCTGTAAACCAAATGGTAAATTAAATCAGTATTTCAACTCTCCCCTTTGTTAAAGATATTGCAACTCCTTTTTATTGTAAAATGCTGTATGCAGATGTCCATTAACTGTTCAGCACTAACAGCGTGTGTAGTGCTGCAGTGACCCTGGGAAATGACGACTTCTTGTATATCCACCTCTTGATAGTGAACATCACAGCTGCCATAGCAACTAGACACTCAGCCTCTTTCTCCAGCATGCATACATAATGGTGAGGCTGTCTTCAATATGATTGGATAGAACTACAAGGCAGATTGAACTCTTTGATTCCACCTCTGCTTATGCAATGTTTCACATATTGTCAAGCTTCTCACATTTTCTGAACTCACATTGTTTGTCACAGTTTTTCAGTACACTCAGCTGTTGGCTGTTTTTCTTTTGTTAACAATTAGTTAACATTGCAACAAGTTTTTATTTTATTTTTTATCTTTGATGGTATAAAGGTCTAAATTGAGCAATGAAATTATTATTATTTTTGCGTCAACTTGGGGTCTCTGACTTGTGCGTTTTTAGAAGTAACAGTTAACCTCCTACGTGTTTTTTATTACACTCTTCACAGCATGCAGTATGTAATGCCTTTATATAGTTGACATGTTAAGAGTTCCCACAGTGTGTTTCTTTGTTAGTCGAGATGTAGAGCAGACTAGGGCTGCACGATATATCGTGTCGTGACGATAATCGCGATATGCGCATGCGCGATATTCACATCGTCGGGCGATTATTATAATTTTTTTAGGACTTGCGATATTAAGTAGGCAAATTCACTCAAACACGTCATGTTACAATTATTTTGCTGCTTGCTACAAAAGGAAAACTTGCGCGGCTCTCATGTCAGGGGTACTTGAATTAGGGCTGCACGATTTGGGGAAACAATTTAATTGCGATTTTTCGGACAGATATTGCGATTCGATTTGCGATATTTGTTTTTAGGCGACCCAACGGAAGTTTATTGTAAGATGCGGCCATATCTCCGGCTAGGAAGGTCGTATTAACATGCTCCCGTCTCTAGCACCCCCGCAGCCCGAGCTACGAGTGAAAGAACTAAACTTACATGAAACTTCTGTTGGGTTGCTTTAAAGTCAAGCTTCAGTTTAAGATTCAGCCTGTAATAGAAACATGTGATGGAGCATTACTAACCTGACTCAGATGGTTTGTTTCACCAAACCATCTAGGAAAGCTCCATTGGAAGCCATTTGGAAAGGGCAGGCACTTTCATAAATACTTGGCAGGTGATTGGATCAATCTGTTTTAGGGCTGCATCGTGTCGTGACGATAATCGCGATATGCGTATGCGCGATATTCACATCGCGTGGACGTGCAATTATTTTAGGACTTGCGATTTTTTTAGGACTTGCGATTTTTTTAGGACTTGCGATATTAAGTAGGCAAATTAACTCAAACACGTCATGTTACAATTATTTTGCTGCTTGCTACAAAAGGAAAACTTGCGCAGCTCTCATGTCAGGGGTACTTGAGTGAGTGACATGCAGGCTCTGCATGCACAGCAAACCACCAATCACAATCAAATCTCCAAAGCAAACGGATCAGGTGATTAAAAGGTAAAAACACTGAATAAAGTAGTTTCATGTGTTTCACCAGGGCAGTTTGCTAACCGAGCTAGCTCAGCTTGTTGCTCTGATAACTTCCAGATCCAGACGTCCGTGACTAAAATCCTTCATCCAGTTAAATATAGTTAAAAAAATAAAGGATGGTTTGCGTTAAAAGAAACTGTCTTTTCTTCAATTCCTGTATGTTTTCATATCGCATCGCATATCGCAATATATATCGCAGGGGGAAAAAAAATTGTAATGTCAGTTTTTTCCAATATCGTGCAGCCCTAATCACCTTCTATCATGGGCCACTTCTGATTGGTTAAGAATGGCTGGTACATGTGGAGCACAGCACTTCTGATTGGTGTGGATGACTGACACACAAGAAGAATTTTTTTTTCAAAAATAAATCGCTGGCTTTGCGATTTGATAATTGCATCATTTAAAATCGCGATTTCGATTTAAAATCGATTAATATAATAGAGAATAGAATAGAATATCTTTATTGTCATCACACATCACTGCAACGAAATTCAGTTGGCATCTCTCACTGCAGTACATAAACAAGAACACATCCATAAAAGCAGAGATAGTATAATCAGGGTCATCACTTAAATGCACTTTATCAGAATGTTACAAATACATTTTTAAAGATAATTTCATAAAGAAAAGCTACAATGTTTAAATATAAATAGTTACTAAAAAATATCAGTTTGATACTTAATAAATATACAAATAAATAGATAACATATGGCATTTTTGGCTGCAGTCTTCATTAATCATTCAGCCCTACCTTGAATGCAGCTTTAGATGTCACAAACTGAAATGCATTTATGTAGTAACTACCGAACAAAAACA